AGTAAATATACTATATAGCCAGGTTTGCATATGACTTGAAAAATAGGAGGAAAACAAGTGATAAGGATAACACAAATAGCCTGCAGAGGGATATAGGCAGGTTAAGCAAGTGGGCAAAAAATTAGCATATGGAATATAATATAGAGAAATGTGAGGTTATGCAATATGGCAAGAATAGAGGAGTTGAATATTATTTAAATGGAGAACAAACACAGAGCTACAGAACAGAGGGATGTGAGAGTCCCTAACAACGAGTCACAAAAAGCTAGCATCCAAGTTCAGAGGGTAATAGAGAAGGCAAATGAAATGCAGATCTTTGTTTCAAAGGGAATGGAGCGTAAAAGTGGGGAGATTTTGGGTAAAACTATACAAGGCATTAGTCAGACCACAGCTGGAGTAATGAGATAGTTTTGGGTCCCTTATTTAAGGCAGGGTACACTGGCATTAGAGGCAGAGCAGAGAAGGTTCCTGAAGCTGCTCCCAGGTATCGAGGGACTGTCTAATGACGAAACAGTGAGTAGACTGGGCCTGTACTCATTAGTAAATAAAAGAATGAGAGGTGACCAATCACTGAGACATACAATATTCTTAAGGATCTTTACATGGTAGATGCGGAAAGGTTGCTTACCCTTGTGGGGTAGCCTAAGACTAAACTGTGTAATTTCAGAATAAAAGTGGTCATAAATTTAAGACACAAATCAGGAGGAAATTCTTTGAGGGTTGAGGCTGTGAGATTCTTCTCCACATAGGGCTGTTGAAGTTGGGTCATTAAAAATCCATCTCGGCCTTAATAAGTAAGGGAATAAAGGGTTATGAGGATAGGCAGAAAAGTTGAGGATTATTAGATCAGCCATGATCTCATTGAATACTAGAGCAGACTCGAGTAGCTAAATGGCTTTTGGTCTTAAACAGCATGTTGGCCTTTATTGCAAGATGAATAAAGTAAGGACGTTTTGAACAACTGTACAAGACATTAAGATCACACCAAGTACTGAGTATACTTTGCTTAAGGAATATAAGCAATTGCTGCAGGATTAGGCCATTCAGCCTCAACTCATCTTTCATGTCAGTTCCTCAATGCTCACAATTCTTTGAGATTTCAAAAATCTATCTACCTCTTTAAACATTTTAAGCGATCTAACCTCCATAAGATCTCTTGTATGTTTTGTTAAGATCGTCCCTCACACTTCTGAACTCTCATGAATAAAGGCCTGGCACGTTTAACTGTTCCTGATAAGTCAACCCTTTCATCACAGGAATCAGCCAACAGAATCACTTTTGAACTCAATGCCAGTATATCTCTTTTTAAACACAGGAAACAAAATTGTACAAGACTTCACCATTTTTAAAATCCAAACTTCTAACAATAAAGACCCAAATTCCTTTTGCCTTCTTAATGAATTGCTGCCCCTGCCTATTTTGCAGAAAAAAACCAGATCCCTCTGTGCTGCACTTTTTTGAAGTCTCTCTCCAAATAAAACAATAGCTTGTCTTTTGATTCTTCTTGTCAAAGTGCATGATGAATATACTTGCGCTGGAAGTAATTTAGAGAAGGTTCATTTGACGGATTCCTGGAATGAGGGATTTGACTTTTGAAGAAAGGTGGAGCCTCCTACTCAAATGAAATTTACAAGAATGAGAAGTGATTTTATTGAAACACAAGATCTTGAGGGAACTTGACAGGATTGATGCTAAGAGAATGTCTTCTCGTGTATAATACTGCTTCAAATTAAAGCATCTCTTATTTAAGTTGGGAATGAGGAGAAATTTATTCTCTCAGAGGGTCATCAATGTTTGGAATTCTCTTCTCCAGGCAGCAGTGGAAGCTGGGGTTATTGAATATATTCAAAGTTGAGTTAGAAAGATTTTTGATTGATAAGGGAGTCAAAGATTATGGAGGACAGACAGGGAAGTGGTTTTAAGGCCCCAGTCATATCATATTCTTTTTGAACAGCAGTACAGTTTCGAAGTGGTGAATAGCCTTCTTTTACTTCCATTTATTAGGTAACTTGAGGGTCAAATTCTGACATTTTGCATGTTGTGTGAACTTCAAATTCAGACCAAGGATACACTTTACAGATAAAATATTAATGAAAGCAATAGAAGCAACATGCTATCCTAATAAAAAGAATTTATGAAACCATGCCAACATCTACCATAATTAACCTCAAACACTATGTTTTACTAATATTTATATTGCGCAGCTTGTGGCCCTCTTCATAAACTGTACCCAAATAAATGCAATATATCAGTATCAAGCAAGAGGATTTAATAAATACCAAACCGAAGGAGGAGAAGCAATATGAAAGATGTTTCAGAAAACATCCAACAAGAAATCTACACAGTTTAGAACTTCTGTGTTAAGGCTCCTTATTAGGAAGCCTTTGGAAGTATTTTTTTTAAATCGCTGTAAAAGACATTATATTTCTGAAATCCTAGGAGGTCAATTCCATTCAGATGTAAGACAACGTTCAACACTGCAAACAATATTTAACAGTTCAAACTGACAATAAAGCAGACTGACCATGGATGCAAGTTTGCCCACAGCTACATTATGAGTAAAGTTATGCATATTAATGTTGCAAACTGATAGTTATATGTTAAAACTCCAATTGTTAATGGATACTTGAATTTGCCAAAACATAATATTTTCAAATAGGGCCTTTAACCATTAACCATTAGCAAGCATTTTACTTTTCATTTGAGGGGAGAAAGACCAGTCTCGCAAAGCCTCTCACACCTTTACAAGGTTGGGAGAAAGGAGCAGTTCAGACACTGAAACACTACCTTCATAGGAACTGTGCCATTTTTCAGAAAACTGAATGGTACTGGTAAAAAATTAAGTAATTACAAAGTACCAGCTGCTGAGAATTTGTGATAGCAAGAGGCATGGAAGAGTAAAGATACTGAAAGAATAAAACATATATAGCACCTGAGGGTGTGAACTAGAGGAAAGCAAAGCAGATTTATTTGGAGTCTGTTTCTGTCTCTCACGTATGGTCTTCTCAGGTGTTGCATATGGGAAGTAGGTTGCCTGGAAAATTGTTGGTTTTTCATTGGTACGCAAATGTCCATATAGGCCTTCTATTAATTTCTAGGCAGTCAGCAGAAAAAAAAAGTGGGAGGGGAAAAAAAAGGAAGACAAAGTAATAAGCTCAGTTATAGATATCAGAAAGAGTGATTAATTCCATAACAACATCAACTTGTATTAAAACAGGGCCTTTAATGTCATGAAAAGCCCCAAAACATTTCATAGGACTGTTATCATACAAAGTTTGACAACAAACTATACAAGGAGATATGAAGTGAGATGTTTAAAAACTTGGTCAAAAAGGTAGGTTTAAGGTGCATGTTAAAGGAGGAGAGAGAAATAAAAGGAGGAGAAGTATTGGGAAAGAGTCTTACAGCTTAGGACCTCAGCAGCTGAAGACAGCCAACAATGGTGAAGCAATAACATAGAGACATTCAAGAAGTCAGAACTAGCAGAGTTCAGATATCTTAAGGGTGGTTACTGCAATTTTAAGGGTTAAATAATAACACTGAAACAAGACATGCTTTTCATTTGCTTCCCTTCTTTTGAAAAGGCTTGGTTGCATGATGCAACTTGCTCACTGGAACAGAATGTCACAAAAAAGCAATGAAATGTGAACAGTTTTTGATTACATAACTGAGCAGATTCTAGAGTTTAAATATGTATCATTTGTGACTCAGCAGACTCCTTTCCAGATGCAATAAAGCTACAGAGTAATTGTAAAACTGAAAAGTGTAACATTTGGTTTTGGAATAAATAGCTATTTTAATTCATGCTCCCTGGAAGGTCCTTAATCTTCTCCAAAATAAATTTTTTAAAAGATCAAAAACAGATAGATGAACTAGACAGAATTTTTGAAGCTTCAGTATCCCTTTCTGAATTTTCAGGCTTATTTGATGGTGACACTATCCATCTATATTGTTGACTCTTTTTACTGAAGGTCCTATTTTTGAATCAGTTGGTTGAAAGTATTTTGTTCATTGGTGCTACTATTTGCTGGCAAAGAGATACTGCAGCTTTAAAGAACATTCATATAACAGGCAGGCATGCTGTGAAATGGGCCAAATTACAAACCTGCGGAAAGCAATATAAAGTGCATTTTTGCTTTATGTTGGGTAAACATACACCCATAACAATAGGGTTTAAAATACTTGGGTGCCCATCAAATTTATTTTGGGATATCTACGAAGGTCAATATCTCAAACCTCTATTGATTACACTGTAGGTACTATAATACTAAATGTTGACACTTATCGGACTCTTACTTCAAAATCACACATATACACTTCACTTTTAAATTTAAAAAGCACAAAGTACAAGTAGCCTCCTAGTCTAGTTTCTAGAATTACTATAGTTACAACTGTTTTGGAGGTTAGCTGCACATAATAGAAGACATCTTGAAATGATCGTTCTGAAACAAAATACGCTGTAGGAATGTCAAACAGATCAACAGTAAACACGCTTGTCAGAGTCCGACCAATACTACATCTTCAGAACTTTTTTTTTAAAACAGTGATTTTATTTAAATCATGTCACCAAAATTCAGTAGGAAATGCAATGATTTGGACAAGAAGTTGACCACAAGCGATAATTTTAGAAAATAAATTAAGATTGATTAATCAAAGTATTTTAATATTCTAGAATTAAAGAGTTATCTGATATCCTTCCAGCAGTTTTACAAGTACTGATCAAATTTTGCATTAACCTGTGAAACAGTGTATTAACAGATCGTATTATAGACAGAATATTGGATTTCATCAAGATAATAACGACAATTAAGAGATATTGGGATGGTGGGAAAATATGACAGAGGTTGAATGCTGCAGTCGGCTCAATGGGCGGACTGGCCTATTCCTGCTCCTATTTTCAATATTCCTAAACCTGTTTGGCATTTGTTTCCAGACTAGAATTTAGTCAAAGCATATATTACAGCAACTTTTAACTTGCTTGCATTAAAATGCCTTGTATCTTTTTGGTAAAACGTTTCTTTTAAGTTGACTGCAATGGCAATTTTTCAATCAGGCTGACTGCTAACTAGGTAAGCTACAAAGCCTATTATGTTTTACATTATGTCATTTAAGAGTGACACAATATAGTATGGAAATCCCAACACTAAAACAAGAACAAATAAGTATCAAAATACATAAAACACTTTAAAGCATTAAGAAGTTAGTCTGAATCAATTCTGCATTTATCTGGCTAACCTTGCTCCTCTGACAGTGCTTGTATAATTAAAACAAACTTCAACTGTCTAAAACAACTGCACATTTCATGCTTAAAATGTTAAAATAAAAGGCCATCTGTTGTCAATGACTTTTTCTGCCTACAAAAGAAATTTAGTATTGTGTTATGCATTCCATAATCAAATTTTGACATTCAGTACTACAGAAGACATGTACGTAGGGGGCTAAGTGACTTTATACAATATTGTATATACTCTCCAAATATTTGACCAAACAACATCTACTTATCATTCAGATGGACACTGCAATTTCACAAGTATTTTAACCCTTCTTGGTAAAATAAGTGGCAACCTGAAGTCCTTCTGGTGATCTTGCTACTTTGAATAATTAAATAAGCTTCAACTGAAGTAAAAGTGTCAAAATGGGATTAAGAGATGCAATGGAGCAAGCTAAAGGTGATGCTACTTGGCAAAACTTTGCCATTAGTTCAAATTCAGTGGGAAAGGAAAACAAACCATTCCAAAGCAAAATAAAGGCTCTCCCTTGACCTACATAGACAGCAGTTTTGCAAAGTTATCCACAAATTGAAAATCGTAGCCCCATTTAATTATGGAAGAAGATGATAATTAAAATATCAAGTCTTTCTGCTCAGAGTGCCTGGCTCAAAACTTGATGCCCTTCTCTAACAGGCAATTATACTAACAATATAATCAAGTTATTATGCCCAAATAAAATCATTTAAAAAGGCAGTATATTACAATATAAATTGTTAAAATGCAGTATGCTTACAACATACTTGTACATAAATCCACAATGCTAAAGAAAACTCTTCTGCATAATAATTCTGCACAAAGTTTATGTATAGGTGCTCCAAGTATACAAAATACAAGTTTTGTTTAAACATCTTGAACAGCTGCCTAAGTAGGTCAAGACAAGGATACTGTGCCTATTACCTTCATTCAAAGCAAAAACAAATCACTGCTCATTTATATCTTTACAGCCAAGGTGTCAGCTACAAAGCCATAAAAATTAAATACAAAACTGCACTGCATATAGCACTTAGGAGCACTCACCAGTAACAACTGTAGTTTCAACTGTTGGGTATTGAACATAGTGAAAGTACATAGGAGAAATGCTATAGCAAAATGCTTAGTTAGAAAATTTGTTTGTTACATTTTGTATAAATTCACCACTGTAATTTAATCCAGACATTAATTTTCAGAAAATGCATACAGGATACTTTCCTCCCTTCAATTTTCATTTGGAATCTCTTCAAGGATCGTAGTTCAAACTATCCTTTTGCAGCAGAAAACATAAAATTAGCAGCAGATCAGGCAATTACAAAAACTCTACAGAAATAACTGGTGCGCTTTGATGGACTCTACAACTCATCAATTATATCATTTTTGGAAATGGCCAGTGATAGATATATTTTTACATTCGTAAATAATGAACAATTGAGGTGAATTACAACCCTGTCCAAGGTTGTTAGAAATCATTAATCAAACTGAAAGATAAATAATTGCAAGCTATTCAGAGTGTCCACAAATAGGCACCTTTCATACATAGCAATTTTTCTGTATGAAGTATAATGATTTTCAGCTCACTGTAACAAATCCAATAACTACTGTTTCATTGCAAAACATTTTCAGAAAATATGGACAATGTATCTTTTTTATTACAAAGCCAATTTCAGAATGAACTGAGTTAAACAGCTATAAATAAAATTTAGTTTTATCCATTTGAAAATCTTGAGGTGCAACCAATGATCAACAACTATCATTTAGCTGATATGTTTTAGAATACAATCTCAACTACAGGCAACTTTTGATTGCATTTGGTTAGCAGATAATAATGTCACATAAATTTAATGACCACAAAATAATATAAGATGACCCACAGAGTTTATTAAAGCAGTCATCCTATAAATTTCAGGGGTATAACCTACAAAAATCCAGAAGATTTCATTTAAGGAATCTGGTACAAGCTAACATTTCAGTCTCCCAACGTAAACGGGGACTGATTAGGGCAAATCACATCACATATGCTTGGTACTTAAAATATTCTAGTTAGCTACACTGACAGAGGCAAAATCAAAGTATGGCAGATCTGACTTGTATTGAAACGCATTGATATGGCACATAAACAAGTATTGCTCAGCAACAAGTTTGATAAAACATAAGAATTTTGCAACGCCTCCTCTATAATTCTTACAGGGCTCATTGTTGAGAAATTAGGCCAGAAATCTTTAAAAATACTAGAGGAAGCAAACACTTTGGCTTTGGATTACTAGCATTACAAAAGTCTTCTTTAGAGATTGCAATCAAGCCACTTATAAAATTATAATTCAAAGATTCAATTAAGATTTAGGAAGTATGTGCCAAAAAGATTAGTTTTATTTACTTCACGAGAGAAAGCTACAGTTGATTTTAATAGAACTATAACCCAAATGCTTAACTTTATTTACTGTGGTTTTATTTTTCGTAAGAGGCCATCTCAATTAACAAGAATGAACACTATCCAACATTCTAAAGTTCCAACAAACTGATGTTTGTGTTATAACAAATAATCGTTAAAACTATTTTAAATATAGCTAAGTACAATCATTTAGGATGTTTGGTAAATAACACACAAATTTTTCACTTCCAAAATGTGTACCTTGTATTCTCATACATCCTCATTTTTCTATACTTCATTTACTACCTGTTTTGTGTCACTTTGCACTCTGGGGCAACTTCTTTTTTATTGAAAGCAGGTAGTAGTGAGAGAGAATGGAACTTCTGTACTCTCACATTAACTGTACAATAGTTGAGAGCTGCTCAAAAAATTCTGGTTAAACAGTCAATAAAAATTGATTGTTTACAGACTATTTGACTGGTG